CACCGATTATTTTCATTTAATTCGAAATCACCGAAATAACACACGGGGATTATCATATCTGCATGAGGAAATGGTTTTAATCAACTTCAAATATTAATTATAAGAAATAAAAAGGCAAAAAATCAGCTGCAGCGAAGGCTGTTTAACAGCCGAACAGCCGGCTGTTTTCGACTGTTTTACAGCCGGCTGTTAAACATCCAACAACCGGCTGTTTCAGACTATTTCCGACTGTTGTTAAGTTATACCAGTTTGGCGTAGGAGAATACCGTTCTAAAAACGAAATTAAGCATGCGTAATTTAAACGTAAGTTATACATCCGTTTAATTTTTTTTTTTTTGTTAGGTTCTGTTAAAAAAAATCTATGTCGACATAAAATTTCTCTATTTAACGTATACTAATTTACTTAAAACGAAATTAAACATGATTAAATGTACTTACCGATTTGAAGTAATTGATGTGAAAAAAATTTTCAACTTCAACGTTCCAAAGTTCTTCTAGATTTTGAGGTTCAAGCAGATGAAAAGATGAGAGTTTTTTCTGTGTTGGAAGCTCGTTTCGAAGTTTTTATAAGTGGGGAAATGTTTGATTTTCAATTATTAAGTAAAAGGGTAGTATAGTCCTTTCAACAATATATGGTTTTGTAATTGTACAAAACATTTAAGGGTATCTTTGTCTTTTACTATACAAGAGGCCAATGTCATAATATTCATTATTTTGGAAGTCAAACTGAAATTTTGCTCCTTTGATCGGGTCAAAATTAAAAGTACCCCGTGGTTTGCACCGGTGGCGATGGAAGGGTGGAGTAGTAGTGTTAGAGCTTTGCAATTGCCGATATTTACAGACGTGAAGGGTGGGATGGATTTAGGTAGAAAAAGGTTCAGCTTTTCCATTTTCATTTTCCCCCCCTCTTTTTTTATTTTGTTATTTAATTATTTAATGTGATAAATATGGAAGTACCATTTTGTCCTCATTAACATTGATTAAAATGTTGTCAAAATTAATTTTCTAGGTCAACCGACAACAAATCGGATGAAAACTGTCCAAGCCTGTGATGCAACAGTTGAAAAGGTTTGGAATGATAACTGCAACTTTTGAAAGGTTTGCAAAAAATTTGCTAGTGTTTCAAAAGTTTAGAGATTTTGCTACAATAATCCCTTATTTTTAAGGCAAATCAAAACATGTTTTATTAGATGTCAAATATGATTTGATTCATACGGTTTGAAAATATACATGGATCTTTTCGATTACAAAGCAAGAAATATCATATTAGCTAGTATCTCAAATTTGATTGTAGATTATTATATAACAACTAAAATCTTGTTTTCAATAAATTTAAGGTCGACTAAAGAATTATTTTCAATTTCAATCTCTCACTAAATTTACTGGAGCGTTGGGCTTAAGATTTGTATATGGGATGAGTTGAGGGAAAAATTCATACCTCAGGCGTATTGTTTACACCAAGTCAAAAATAAGATAAATAGTTTGAAATTTCAAAATTCAGGTTTATATTTAGTTAATTAAAAATATTTATTAATTAAAGATAATAAAGTCACAATTATATGATTAATGGTCACAAATTCATATTTATAAATCACAAATTTATTTATTGGTTATATATCGTCAAATTAATTAGTCACGAAACATAAATTTTGTAAGTCATAGATTATTTCAAGGTCACACATCAAAAATTTTATAGTCAAAAATTATCAATTTTTAATGTCACAAACCAAATCGTTGAGGTCACAAATTATTTTATAGTTATAGATTATAAAATTTTAAGGTCACTGACAAAATCGTTGGTCACATATAACAAACACTCTACTCCTGATCCCAATCCACCACCAATCCTTGGTCACAGAGCAACCAAAATCACTATTACACCCCGCCACAATCACTATTACACCTCGCCTCCGCCACAACACCACCATGACCACCGCCAACAACAACCAAAACGAACACCACCCACGTCACACCAACACAATCGTCTTCCACAAACAGTCAAGAACAACTCTCACATCGCATCAATACAATTGTGCTGCAAATCCCACCACCAGCGACCACTGCACAGTAGTTCAAATCAAAAATAAAAAAAATCCAAAAAATCAACCACCAGATCCATCACCCATGCCATTTCCACACACAAACCACCCGTCACAAGAACCATCACCGCGCCACTGCTATTCACCAAAACCACCACCAAATTTCCCCACTGCAGAGGAGAAGACACCCCTACACAACAACTCCAACTAAGTAGATCCAATCGAGGAGAACGAAATCACCCAAAAATAAAAAATAAAAAAAATCGAACTCCCTCCCCAAATTTTCTCTTTTGCCGGCGACCAAAAAACCCCACTCCACTCCCCAAATTTTTATCTGCTAAGACAGGTGCACCGCCAAGCAATGACAGATCGCAGTGGTACACGTACAGTGCCGAACGACAAATCATAGCGTTGCACATAGTCTGCAGTGGTGCGTTGCAGCGTTACTCATGAGACGAGAGACAGAAGGCATATCCGCGGGGGAGAGAGAGAGAGAGAGAGAGAGACCCTAATGGTTGAAGAGAGAAGGCAGTGGGCGGCAGGAGACATTGAAAACCATCCCACCTGATTTTTGTACAGTGATCTTTACATGCCTAGATTTTTGTAATTTCCTCATGAGGGGAAAAAATCATATCTTAGGTATATTGTTTACACATTAAAAAATAAGATAAATAGTTTGAAATTTCAAAATTAGGTTTATATTTAGTTAATTAAAAATATTTATAATTAAAGAAAATAAAGTTACAGTTATACGATTAATGGTCACAAATTTATTTACTGTTATATATCGTCAAATTAATTAGTCACAGATTATTTCGAGGTCACAGAACATAAATTTTGTAAGTCACAAATTATTTCAAGGTCACACATCAAAAATTTTATAGTCAGAGATTATCAAATTTTAATGTCACAGACCAAATCCTTGAGGTCACAAATTATTTTATAGTCACAAATTATCAAATTTTAAGGTCACTGACAAAATCGTTGATCACATATAACAAACACTCTACCCTCGATCCCAATCCACCACCAATCCTTGGTCACAGAGCAACCAAAATAATTGGTCACAATCACTATTACACCCCGCCCCCGTCACACCACCACCACAACCACCGCCAACAACCACCAAAACGACCACCACCTAAGTCGCACCAACACAATTAGCTTCCACAAACAGTCAAACACAGATCTCATATCACATCAACACAATCGCGCTGCAAATCCCACCACCAACGACCACTTCACAGCAGTTCGAATCAAAAACCAAACAAATTCCAAAAATCAACCATCAGATCTGTCACCCATGCCATTCCCACACACAAACCACCCGCCACAAGAACCACCACCGCACCACTGCTATTCACCAAAACCACCACCAGATTTCCCACTGCAGAAGAGCAGACCTCTACACAACGACTCCGACTAAGTAGATCCAATTGAGGAGAATGAAATCACCCAAAAAAATAAAAATAAAAAATACCAAACTCCCTCCCCAAGTTTTCTCTTCTGTCGGCGACCAA